ATATAGTAAATTTTTTAAATTTTGGTCTATTTTATATGCCTATTTGGCTGATATTATACAAACTCAGATCTAAGTTGAATCAGAGATCTTTGGGATTCTGGTGCGGTATATAAATTGTTTCTTTTTTTTTATTACTTATTTATTAATTTTTTCATACAAATAAAAAGATTCATATGTGGTATAGTTTTATCTTAAAAAAATAGTTGAAGATGAGAGCTTATACAAAGTAAAATAGAAAAAAATATAAAACTAAATATAAACAAACATTCAAGCTTGGTAAATTTTGTTAAAATTCATATATCTAATTTTGACAAGAATAAAATAAGACAAAGATTCTTTCTATACAAAATTATTTAAAAAAAACCTAATATTAATTTATATCAAGTTGCTTGTCAGTATAAAATACTTAAAAATAGTATCTAGCAAGTAAAATTGAGCTACTTGAAACTCCAGATTATCCTTCTCTTAATGTAGTTTTATTAAACAAACCTATTTTATTAAGACAAGCAAGCTTTAAATAAAATAATAAATAATTAAATCAAGTTTTGAGCTAAAATAATAATAGCAATAATATTTTGATTAAGTATAATTATTTATTACATCATAATTATATAGTGGTGATCTAATAATTTATAGTTATTGTGCACTTTGTGTACAATAACTAGTTACAGGCAGATTTATATTCAAATCACATGGCCTTCAGCCATGTGATTTGAGTATAAATTTGACTGTAATTAGTTATCATACATTTTGTGCATGATTACTATTTTATTGTCTGGGTCCTATATAACAGTTTTCTGACATCAAATAAACTTTTTTTTTTGATATTTAAGCTATTTATTTTATTTGTTTTTTTTTTTATCTTTTTCTTATTTGGATCCTAAAATATGACTAGTAGAAATTTACACAAAGAAGCTGAACATTTAAAAAATCTATCTTATGTAGCTAATACTACTAAATAGCTCTATCATGTTGACAGATATTGTCAAGCAAATAATATTGATGAAACGATTGATCAAATTGACAATAAAGCTGAACTTGATGAATTTTTAAGTTTGTTTATTGCATGGCTTACGAAAATTGATGGCAAACCATTTAAAGTTAAATCAATTAACAACTGTTATGCTGCATTAGCACGCTATTTATGTAAAAATTCTTCTATTCTGGGTAAAGTTAACATTTGGGACAAATATACATTTTCAAGAACAATCCAAGTATTAGATGGCAAGATGAGATCGTTACAAGATGAAGGTTATAGTGACACTGATAAAAATGATTCATTAACACCTAACAAAATAGTTTCTTGTTTAAATCATGAATATTTATCAATTAATAATAATGAAAGTTTGCTTCATTGAGTTTTTTTTGGCTTTCATTGTTATGTGGCTTACGGTGGTGATACTTACAAGTTACAATTTCATGATATTGAAAAGCAAGTTGATGGTGGATTACAGTTGCGCTTATGAAAAAAAAAGAATAATTAAGGTAGTGTATTTTATCATCAGCGATATGGTCATACAAATACTTGATCTATTCCAATTCCAGCTAACAATCCCAAGAACCAATTTACACCTGTAAAAGATATATTATTGTATTATCAAAACATCTTTCTGAATGTCAATCAACTGATGTACTATTTTTAGAATGCATTAGAAAACAATCAGGTAATTTTAATTTTTATTAATATCTTTATATACATATATACAAATATATTTTTGTTAATTTATTTTTATTAATACATAGAATTAAAAAAAGGATTGATATACAAGCCATCTAAAATAGGAGAAAAAAACTTAAAATGATGCTTAATCAAATTGCGAATAATACTGGAATTGATCTTGCTGATGATCGAAAAATTACTAATCATAGTGCAAGATGTACAGCAATCACAATATTTAAGCGATCAAATGTTCCTGAAGATGAGGCAATAATGTTTTCTGGCCACAGATCTCGAGAAAGAATTTGTGCATATAGTGACCCATCATATGATCAAAGACTTGCATCCACAGCATTATTGATTCTATTTGCATCGCAAGAGCAAGATTTAAATGAGTTTGATTCGAATGATATAATTGATAATCAACTGGCATGTAAACTATAGTTATATATATTTAATGATTAATTTAAACATATATATAATAATTTTTTTTTTAGCTTTGAATTTAAATATTGATGTATCGGATTTGGATAATTCAGCTATTGAAGAGTCTCACAATTCAGTGATTGAAGAGTCTTATGATTCAGCTGTTGAAGATTTTCCCAATTCCGCTATTGAAGAGTCTCCCGATTCTGCTCTTGAAGAATTACAAGATTCACAAGATTCAATCAAAATACTGTACTCACAGGATTTTCAAAAAGGTATTTAAAAATGTATTTTATTTTATATAGTTTGTAATATAATTTTAATTTTTTTTTGTTTTTAATGCACATAAGAAAATAATGACCTTAAAATGAAAGAAATTACATTGCAAAAAAAGAAACGTGCTACCCCATATATCGATGGTTTAAATCCTAAAGTCCTCAAGCCATTTAAGATTCCTACGAATGATCCTGAAAAAATTAAACTATACAAGTATCGCCAAAGAATGCCGTTGAAGAAAGCTACAAATAATATTATAATTCAGCTTCCCAAAAGTGACAAACTACTTAACATTACTTTAAATATTTCACTTAATAATTAGATAATAATTTAATTTCTCTGCTAATTTTATGTAAATTCTTGCAAATTTGCAATATTTTATAATGCTGTGAATTATAAAATCTAACATTAAAGTAAATATACGTATAAAATTGCACAATTTACTTATTCAGGCATATTATTAATAAAGTCATATGACTTTAATAATAATATGCCCGAATAAGTAAACAAAAAAAGTGTCAGTTGTTACATAGGACCCGGACGATAATTTCTTGTTATCTGGCATGATCTGACGAATACACAGTTATCATCCTGCCAATAACTGTGTATTCGTCAGATCATGCCAGATAACAAGAAATTACTAGGTAATTTACAGAAAGTGTGATAAATTTATCTTATATATATAGATCTATCTGCAAATTATATAATTTGATTGGCTAAAAAATTTTTAGCCATCAAATCACATGATTTATATTGCACAAACTTGTTATTCAAAATAACTAAAGGTAAATTTACGGGTAATTTACCGAATAGCTCAGGTAATTTACCAAAAAATTTGAA